AAAAAGGAAAACAAAACAAAACAAAACAAAACAAACAGCTTGAAGTGCAAGGCTGTGTTGACTGCTGACAGGGTGGAGAAAAAGAAAAAAATAACAACCCTCTGGAAGTGCAGGGTTGGAAAGATGCCTGAGGGAAGAACCTCTTATTCTTATGCAAATAGACTTATCCAAGAGGGAGAGAAACTTAATTGCTGTTTCTTCCCTGGGGCTCCCATGGAGCAGGACCCCTCAGCCAGGAAAGGGGAAGACACTGTGGATGTGTGACTAGGAACACTGGCCAGCCTGCCACATGTGGCCTTTGGGCTATGCGCCCCAGTCTCATCCGGGAGGGGAGTGGGGCAGAGAGCTGCTGCTTACCTGTTTGTTCCAAACAAACCAGGAAAATGTCATAGAAAGCCTGACTTGGACTGAGGCTGATCTCCTCCACCACCAAGAGTGATGGCGGGGTGGGGGACAGTTTCCTTTACCCTCAGAAGAAGCCCAAGGGAAAAAGACTCAGAAACAAAAGGGAAACAGCACCCTACTTCCCCTTCTTGCCTGGGGACTAGAATGTCTTTGTAGGACTAACAAATTAGCCATAAGATTAGAAATTATGGTTTAGCAGTCGTGTAACTGGAGGTTACAAGATTCTGACTCTCCCCAAATTGCCCCTGGGGATAACATCACTATTGTAAAACCTAAGATCAGTGCGTGAGATATTTTGCAGACCCTGCACTTGATGGATCATTTGGTACCACCCAGATCCATAAACTTCCTCATTTGATCTTGTAGCCCCACCCAGGAGTTGACTCAGTGCAACAGGACTGCTTCAACTCTCTATGGTTTCATCTCCAACCTAACCAATCAGCAATCCTGACTTACTGGCCCCTCACCCACCAAGTTATCCTTAAAAACTCTGATCCTTGAATGCCTGGGGAGAGTGATTTCAGTAATAATAAAACTCCAGTCTCCTCCACAGCCAGCTCTGAGTGAATAACTCTTTCTCTGTTGCAATTCCCCTGTCTTCATACATGGGCTCTGTCTAGACAGCAGGCAAGGTGAATCTGCTGAATGGTTATAGTAACAATACCGTAACAAAGGCACAAGAAAAGACTACATGGCTGTTTTAAAATGTAGATTCTATTATTCTTCTTGTGAACAGATCAGGAGTTGACTGCTGTTGAAAACAGATTTTAGTGTGCTCGGATCCCAATACAAGGGGCCATGACACACCATGGGGCTGGAGGCACACGGGAAGCACCAGGGTTAGTCAAGAGGCAGACAGAGTGGAGGAGAATGTGAGCAGGAGTCTTTACTGTGGTTTCTGAAGGAAGACAGGAGAGATGGGGTGAGCAGGTTGTAAATGGGCTAATTTGAATAATTTTGGTGGGCTCTGGGATCTTAGGGCTGTCCTTAGTTGGTCCTGGGGTGATTAGGGCATAGGAATAATGGCCCACAGTGCACCAGCCCAATAAACGTGGTTGGGGCTTTGGGCTCTGCACTGGTTAATTTGCATATGAAAGGCATGCTCCTGGTGATATCTCTAGGAATTATCTAGACCTGGGAAGGGCAGTCCTTTCAAAGTCAGCAAGGCCCCAAAGGGTCAAAACATCAAAAATACAAAATCAAAAGACATAATTGATACAATGGCTCAAAACATAGGAAGCACAGAAGTAAACAAGTCCAAGTCTGTTTTCAATTCTGAGTATACCCCCAATCCACTTGTTGCCTATCTATCACAGCTTTCTATTTGCTTCTTCACAGCACTAACCACTAGTGTTTTCTGTTTGTTTACCAGTTTCTTGCCTGTGTATCTCACTACATTGTCAGCTCCAGGAAGGCAAGGAATTTGCTTGTCTGGTTTTCTGCACTAGTCCTAATTGCTGACACAGTGCCTGGCACACAATGGATACTTCATAAACATTTGTTGAACAAATGAACGAAAACAATAGTGCTTGATGGTTATGTGTGTATGTATAACATCATTTGCATGTACACACACATACATACTACTGTTCATATATGTATATGTATGTGGGCATTTGTGGGTGCTTTTGAGTTGATGTTTTTCATGTAGGTTCCAGTCAAGACTGCATGTCTGGCTGACTACTAAATACACCCAACAGAAATCTATTTGCCCAGGGGTCTCAGGAGTCGCCTGGAAAGAACTAGCCCTCTAGGACTAGCAGAGAAACCTGATACAGTACCAATCATTTCAGAGGTTCAAAGAGAGAAGAATTTCTGCATGTATAATGATATATTTCACCTGGGGAGGCCTCGGTCCTATCCTTCATGGATTTACAACGTGGCATTTATAAGAAATAAGTCAGTTTAGTAACTGGAAAACCTATTTTTTATTGAAAGCACTACAATATTTTAGGATGGTGTGAGTCAGAGTCCAGCCAAAAAGTTGAAACCATACCAAGTGATCACATAGAAAGAGTTCAGCATGGAGGGTAATTTACAAAGTGCTAGAAATGCAGTTAAAGCAACCAAGCAGAAGATGAATCAACTCTGAGATGAGAAAATGCAGGAAGTTGTCACTCCTTCTAGGTCAGGAGGGACAGTGATGAGAAGGTGGGGCCTAGGAGCCGGGGCCATGCAGTAAAAGCTGGAGCAATGTTGGCCTGCATGGCACAGGGAGAACCACAGATAAAGGGCTTTTCTGAAAGGAGATGAGCCTTGGAGAGGGTACAGCCACTACCCAAGAGAGCTCCTGAATTGGACAGAGGGAGACATACCCCTTCTCCTTTCCTCTCTTCCTCCACTCTTTCACCAGTGCCTTCCACTGGCTTAACTTAATCAGATGCAGTTGGCAAGGAAGCCTGGAAACCACATTTTAAAAAGTCACCTTTCTGTAATACAGAGCCAGGAATGAAAGTGAGGAGAAAGGATTTAAAAGCAAACAAACAAATTTGAGGGCAGCACTGGTTTAGTGTTCCAAAAAGATCATAATGTAAAACTAAAGGGTGGCATTGTGCAGGCTAGATCTCCACAAGCAACCAAGTCTCCATAAGCCCTTTGCTGTAATGATGAATGTGTAAGTTAAACATTGAAGACTTGGAGAAACTGGTGCCTGAGTAGGAGAGCTGGAATGCAGAAACAAACCCAGTAAGACCCTACCTGGGCTTTCTCAGCCTCAAACCTGATTGAGTGATAAAAGCATTCATGCACATACAAAACGTAACAGGACCCATGTAAAATTAAGAAACCTTCCAGCCCACAGACCCCTGGTTAAAGATTAGATTTAGACTGAGTAGAAATACTCCTACATGTAGGCATAGAGCTTGAAATTCATATATATATATATATGAAATATATATGAAATTCATATATATATATATATATAAAAAAGGAAAAACTCATAACTTTCAGTTGGTCTGATAAATTACTCCGACATTCTCCCTGTGGCTGGTTACAAAAATAAACTCTCTTCTTTCCCAGTTCACCTGCACCTCATTATTAGACCATGAGAGCAAGCAGCCAGACCCTCTTCTTCTGGCAACAGCATCAATCTTACCACCACTCATGCACACAACCTTGGCTCTTTGAGGGGCTTGGTATGTTAATATCACTGGCATCAGTGAGAATATGTAGGAGAAACGGAAGCAGTATCTGGTAGAGAAAGAAGGAGAAGTGGCAGGATTGAGGTGCAAGCCAGGCATTCATGGTGTCTTTCTTTTAGTTTATAAAGTAGCAGAAAGATAAAGAAATGACAGTTACAACATGGTAACATAAAAATTAGTAAAATGTGACATAAATTAGATATTAATTTTGGTTTGGCACAGCAGAATGCTCTGTCTGCATAATTTTGTTAGATCCTCATTACAACACCAAACCCTCAGATGAGGACAAATAAAGACCCAACCTCTGGCCTTGCATCTTAAGGTGTGTTTTCTCAAAATTTTCTGGGTTCCACTTTGGTGGTGGGGATGGCTGGAGCCAGCAGTACCATGTGGTCAGGGAGCTCTGAGCTGGTCCTGTGCCCATATAGACTCTGCTTTCTGTTTCATCCCTTCATGGTTCTTTCTTACCCTCTTCCTTGCATGTCAGGCCTACTTGATGCCCCAAAGAACTCCAGGACTTGTGCTCACAACCGAAGTTGTCCTGAGGTCCTGTGGCTGGACCCTGGATCCAGAAAGACAGCCTTGGAAACAAATTGCTACTCCTGTAGCCAGCACCCTATTATTGTGTATTTTTGAATTATTTTATCAGATTCGATTTCCAAAGAATCTTGCAAAAACAATTTTCTCCCCAAGCTACACACCTTATGGTTGGTCATATTATTTATGTTCCCATTTTAGATGAGAGGACCAATATCATAGATTAAAAACATCAAATCCAAGATTGCACAAACAGTGAAGATTGAATCCCAGGTTTTTCAGAAGGCATTTTGATGTTAGATCTTAAGTATTATTCTATTCAAAGGCTCAGAGCGGACATGCTCTGAACATACTCAAAATAACTGACACTGGAAAAGGTAACAGAGATGTGAAAATCTTGCCACAGTAGATGTGTGAGTGGGCTGGGGGCAGGTGAGTTCCAGAGAAATGTGGCACTAAATGTCATTAAACTGACTCTGTATTATACCAGGGCCAAGGTGACCTCCAGATTGCTTTCACAACTGGGTAGTTCATCAGCTAATGTGATTCTCCAAACTTTAAATGAATAGAAAACTGGAGGAGGAAAATATAGAAAACTAGAGGAAAACACTCCTTCTAATCCCAATATAAATTCTTCACTTCTTTTCAACATTCTTCCAGGAGAAGGATTCTTTGGGCTCTTTGTCTTCCACTTTTATTTCTGTGCAAGGATTTATGCAAGAGGTACTTGACAATGCTATAATGTAGGGCTTTGTTTTTCATGGGAACACAAGGCAAAGCGGAAAACTCTCCAAATTGTTTAGTGAGAAAACATAACCTTTATCCCTTTATTTGGGGGGGGTGTGAGTCAAGTGGTAGGGACTGGAATTCAAGTCTTCAACGGGCATATAAATACATGTGTTTGCAAAAGCAGCCATCACACTTTGTATGGCAAGTGGAACCACTGGCTTGGTGGATTTTGCTAGATTTTTCTGATTTTTAAACTCCTGAAAAATATACCAGATAACTGTCATGAAGCTGGTAACTATCTTCCTGCTGGTGACCATCGGCCTTTGTAGTTACTCTGGTAAGTAACTGGAATACATCTGGCATATATGATATTTATCTACTTTTCTGTTAATAAGAGCACAACCAGTAAGCTTTGCCTCACTGACAGTGGAATATGGTGGTAGGAACTTTATTTTTTTATTTTATTTTTAACTGACACATAATAATTGCACATATTTGCAGGTTTGGAAGAAGTTTTGGAATCACAGAAAATGGTGATGTTGGAAAGTATTTCAGATCCCCACCATCTAAGCTCTAACCCAATATAAGTATTCTAATACATCTTACATAGGAAGTTAGCCAACTTCCACAGAGGGTCAACAAAGCACATTTCACTGCTGGGTATTGGTCACCATTAGTTTTTCTTATTTTCCTCAATTTTGAGTTAAAATTTGATTTTATAATTTATTTTGTGCTTTTGAACTATATGGAGTCATTCTTGCTATCATCTCCAGTTATCCAACTTCCTAGCTTAGTTCTCCTGAGATAGCTACGTTCATCTTTTCATCCACTCAGTGGATATTTATTGAAGGCTACAATTTTTTGGGCACTGGATATGCATTGGAAGATTTAAACATGAATCAGTCATAAACATTGTTCTTAAGGTGCTAGTCTGGTAGGGTAGATAAGGCTTCTACCAAAGTTACTCTAATGCTAGACTACTGTAAATGCACTGTGAGATAGCCAGATAGAACTCTGTAAGTGTATTGGTGGGTGATGAGTTTAAATTTCAGGTAAGGGTATAGAAGCTGGCTTCTTGGAGGAGAATGGGAACTGCTTTTTTTTGGGGGGGGGTTGGGGGAATCATTATAACTATCAGGAAGATAGTTTGGGTACATGGGAAAAAAAGATTTCATGACGGCCACTGCTCATTGAGAGAACTTTAAAAGGCTTTGAAGACCTTCTCCCAGGAAGCTGTAAATACATACAGAGAAGATATTTACCAAAACATCTGAAATAAGAAGTATGGAGATTAATAATTGATTGCTGCCCACACCTACACTGACAACTTTGACTTGTGATGTTTATTGAATTTCTGAAGGAATTTGTAAATTCACCAGTTTTGGATATTTCATTATTCCCTAGTGTGCAGGGACAGGTATCTATGGGCAAAAGTGACACAGAAAGGAGGTGGGGAAAATAAATATCACCCCCTCTGGGTGAGAATTTTGGAGGGACAATAGGCAATAGAAAATGGAAAAAGAAAAAAAAGATGTACAGGCTCCATTTTAATAATTTGAATAGGGAAATAATAGGTTTCCAAAGGAAAATAAACTATGGCAGGTCTTAGCCAGAAGGAGAATGTGTGTTCTTACATGTGTGCTCACATGCATGTGTACATTTATATATCTGCACATGTTTTTGTAAAAATATATATCATACATATTTTCCTCAATCTCTACTTTTCCCCCCATTCATCTTCTGTGGGAAAGTTATCTTTCTAAAGCCAAAGATATAAAAATATAATTTTCCTATGTAAAAGCCTTGATAGCACCCCACTGCCCTCAGGAAAAAAAATCCAAACTCTTTTGTGTGACATCCAACAGTTTAAAAAATCTGACTTCACTCAACTTTTGCAGCCTCACTCCCTTTATCTTCCATCCTTTGGTCATAGCCTATTGTAAATCTGCACTCCAGCCTTCTGGGCAGAAGGCTCACCATCCTGTGTATGCACTTTCATCCTAACATTTCCGTGCTTTTATTGGTCATGTTTCTAAAATGCTTCCACTCTTCTTTACCTTATGATCCTGACATTTGCCTCAAGACATAGCTCTAACAACACTTCTGGAAAATTCCTGCAGCACTTTCTCATGTTCGAATTAGTCATCCCTTCCTTGTGTTTCCATAGAGCTTTGTCCATAATGTTAGCATAGCACATGCTACACTGTGGCATACACAGATCTTTATTGCCAACTGGACTGTGTGAAGTCTCTGAATGGGCATCCTTGTCCTATTTGTCTATGTATCTGCACAGACTAGCATAGAGTTGGTGCTCAATTGTGTTTGTAATGTTGAGCTGAACTGGTTGGGAGCAGTTTCCTGGGATGTGGTTGGGTCTATTCCTGTCCTTATGTGGAGATTCACTATGGCATCTCTCCTTTAGCCTCAAAGCTGTGAGCTGTGGAGATAGCCACATACAAAATACCATCCTCTTCAGTCAATCACAAGGATCTGTTGAATGCTTACTCTGTGCCAGGGTCAGTTCTAGGTATGGGTGCAGTAGTGAACAAAACATACATTCCTTGTTGTCATGGAGCCTCCATTCTAATGAGACAACAAGGACAATAAAAATAGCAAATGAAGAGTTGTTTTTTTAGGAAATGGTAAGAAAAAGTAAGTGATGGAGAGTGACAATGGCCATTGCAGGTTTCTCCGAGGAGGTAACATTTGAAGAGAGACCAAATAATGTGAGAAAGAAAGGTATGTAGCTAGCTGAGGAAAAAAAGTTCTAGGGAGATGGAACAGCAGGTGCACAGGGCCAGAGGCAGAAGTTTTGAATGGAAGTAAGATGAGTGGATCTGGAATGGACCTATTGATGGACACAGGGAAAGATGATGAGGTCATAGTCTGGGCCCGGATGTGCCTGTCTCACCTGGTTTCTCTTTTGCCTGCAGCTACTGCCTTCCTCTTCAACAACGCGCCCCTTCCTGATGACAAGTTGGTACCTTTACCTCTGGACAACATTCCTCACCTTATGGATCCATTAAAGCTTCTTCTGAAAACTCTGGGCATTTCTGTTGAGCACCTTCTGGAGGGGCTAAAGAAGTGTGTGAATGAGCTGGGACCAGAGGCTTCTGAAGCTGTGAAGAAACTGCTGGTAACCACAGCTTGGGAGGCTAATCTGCCAGAGGGGAGGGCGTAGTCACCCTGAATGTCTACCTCATCCTCTTGGCACTTGTAAATGTGCACTTCCACTTTACTGATTACACTCATAGGAAGTTTGCATGTCATGGAATGTCAGGAAAAATATGATTTCTACATTTCTGGGAAGGGTTTTTGAATGACAGTGACATGTGTTATAGTTGTGACATTATCATTTAGCCGAGACGTAATCACTCTGAGTTTTTGTTTCCCCATCAGTAAAATGGTGGCCAACAGGATACTGAAAGTGAATATTTTTCGAAACGTTCAAATTACATGTAAGCTGCTCTAATTTTTGTTGTCTTTCTGCCTTTCAGGAGGCGCTATCACACTTGGTGTGATGTCAAGATAAAGAAAGAGCAGAGGTGGATGGGGATGGAGGATGATGCTCCTATCTTCCCTGGCTGAAATGCATTCTACCAATTATAGACTAAATGCCCTAAAATGTAGTGACCTGTGAAAAGGACAAATAAAGCAATGAATAGATTCAGTAGTCCTGTTTTTATTTCTGGGGACTCTATTCAGAAGGACATACCCAGATTAGTTTTTCCTTGGTTCATAAATTCGAGAGAGCCTGTTTTTATAAAGAAAACCTGGAATCTTAAATAAGACACAATGATTCCTTTTCCTTTCCTTATCTCTAAATTAAACATCTCTATTTTTCCCAACTGTTTTTTATCTCACAGTGTTTCCAGACCCTTCACTTTCCTATTCCCCAGCCCAAATAAATGTTTACATTTAAAAAATGAAAAAATAATTTTCAAAATATTGCCTGATAAGACTAGCATCTTACTAACTTAATTGGTTTGGCTTCTGTTTCACTAGAATGCTAGTTTTTATTAAGTTTGTAGTTAAGCTATGGCCACTCAATAGCTTTCACTGATCCTTCCACCAAGTTAGGCCTTTACTACATTATCCTTAGGCAAATGGGTGAGAAACTATCTTTTCTTTCCTCTACTCTGTCATCTGCAATGATGGCAGAATTATCTTTCCAAGGAATTATTCTGGTAATATCATGACAGCCTGAACAGTAGATTTCAAGCTTCTGAGCATGGCATGCAAGGCTGTTCATGATCTGGCCTTCGGTTACACGTCTAGTCTTCTTATCTACGTTCCTTTCTTCACATGAGCTCTACTCCAGCCGCATTGAACAGATAACCAAATCCTTTTCCCTCTAATATTCTTACACCTTAATGAAAAATCAAGTTTCTTCCTACCTAGAATATCTGCCACCTTCGGCTTTCAGACCTGGCCTGTGCCAGTCTTGGGACTGTTTGCTGTCAGATCCATTTCCTACCCTTCCCCTGCTCTGCTCTGCTCTGCTCTGCTCTGTGTTGAGAGAGGATAGGAGACGTGATGCTGATTGCTGCAGCTTGCATTTCTCAGGTTCCCAAATCAGCTGACATTTGGGCTAGGTTCTGCCCCTGGGAGGTGTAGGCAGTAGATAGGACGTAGGAAAAGAGGAGAACTATTGTGTGGCCCTTTCTGGCTCTGTATTTGGAAGAAGTCTCTGGAAATGGCTGTACCATGTCTGAGGCTCCAGGTCCTGCTAGATAGGCCTGCCTTGGTTCCAGCTTTTGCTGGGTAAGTCCAGCCTCTGGGCTCTGGTTACATCACCTCCTTTCTTTTTCTCTCTAGCTGAAGTTGTTAGTGGTTTCCTCCTATTGTCAGGTTCTGGGTGCCTCACCATCACCGAGTTGACTTTTTAGCTCTTCTAATGTCTATTCAATCAATTCTTTGCAATACATTCCTTCTGTTCTAAGTACTTTGAGTAATTTCTGTTTCTTCATTGGTTCTTGACTAAGACGATGTTAAATGTTATCTCTAGGGATATTATCTTATTTTTCCTGCCATTGCTTGACTTCCATTTTTTGGCAACTAAAATAGTTTTCACTCTGTGAAATTTTCTATTTTATTTCCTTATTTTATCTATGTCTATAATGATAGATTAGATTGCCCAACTGCAGTAACCAATAATCCCAAATCGCAGTGGCTTATGTGTACAGTGCTTGACTTGTTCCTCATACTATATGGCCATCTTTGGTTGGCTGTAGCTATGATCAATGTTTTATGAATTCTATAACCGGAGCTGATGAATAGTCTATCTTGAGCATTTCACTTATTATGTTTATAGGGAAAGAGAACTTGGTGAACCATGAGCCAGCTCTTAAAGCTTCTTCTTAAAAGTGAAGTATATGACTTCCAATCATGTTTAATTGGCCAGAGCAAGTCATTTGACCATGTTTGACTTCTTTAGGAAGGGGATGTGTAATTACCGTATAGGAAAGAGCTGTGCCAAATGTGATTAATGTAATGTAATTGACCACATTACTTGATGACTTCAAAGTAATTGTCATCTTAGATGCCTCTATCATACTTGCACTTTTATTTTCTATTGAATTATATGACATGTTTCCTCCTACCTTAGTTTTCTGCTATTTGACCATTATTTTTCAGTTTCTTTGAATGGCCCTTACTATTTTTGACTTCGCTTGAATGTTGATACCTCCAAAGATTCTAAACTTAATTCCCCTTCTATTTTTACTCTGTGTATAAACTTTACTGGGGAATCTTATGTATTACTATGGATGCCAATATAATCTTTATGTTAGAAACTCCAAAATCTATGGCTACAGTCTGGATCTTTTTTTAAAAAAGAAGAGATTCAGTTACCTATAGGACACCTCCGAGGGATGCTCTTTTTTAGGTTCAACTCAACACATTTTTACCTAAACTCATTGTCTCTTTCAAAACACATTCCTATGTTCTAATTTGCTATTCAGTTTATAGAGCACAGACATTTTCATGGTTGCCTGAGATAGAGACTTGGGAATAATCCTAAGTACTCCCTGTCGTCAGCCTCATTGGCTGATTGGTAAGCAAGACTTCTTATTATAAACCCTTTTCACATCTACTGCACACATTTTTCATGATCACCACTGGTACTGTTCTTAAAACTTTGTTC